CCCCCCCCAAGGCCCCCCCCCCCCCCCCCCCAGGAGGGGCTCAGCCACACCGGGCCACAGCGAGAGTGGGGGGCGAGGGAGGCCCCTGGCTGCACGGGAGGGGACTGCCTCACACCCCAGCCTGACTCACACCTTGAGCGTCTTGTCGGCCGTGCCGCTGGGGCTGCCGGCAGTGCTGCTGTCGCTGCCCTTCTTCTTGCGCAGGGTCTCAATCCAGCCGGCGCTGGGGCGGGCAGTGAAGCTGGAGAGCGCCAGGGAGCTGAGACGCATGTTCTTGCCCGACATGATGAGCTCCCCGAAACCCTCCTGGTGGGAGAAGGCATAGCCAGAGCGGCGCGAGCCCACACGCCCCACGCGCCGCATGCACCGGTGCTGGGTCTTCTGCTTCTTCCGTACCAGCTGAGTGTAGCGCACCTGGGGACACCGCCGGGGGGACAGGGGACAGGGTCAGGGACCTGCAGAACCGCCTGCCCCCAGGGGACAGTGACCCCCGTGTCCGCCCCCCGCGGCCACGCGCTCTCACCGTGTCCGAGAGTTCGGGTTTCAGGTCCAGCTTGAGGAAGCGAAAGGCCACAACGGGCATAATGCAGACCACGGTGGTGAGGGCGATGGTCAGCCAGACCGTGGGCTGGGCCAGAGTGTTCTGCGCATTACCTGGCGGGAGGAAAGTGCGAGTCCAGCCAGGGCTCAGCTGGGGCAGCACCCTGCTGGGGTCGGGGGCATTGCTCAGCCCCCCCCGGGACTCACCCACAAAGCGGAACTGGTTGGGGAACATCTGGAAGAGGCTGTCGCTGTGCATGGCAAAGAGGATAGCAAAGTAGGCGGCCAGGCTGCCCCAGATGAAGAAGTGGTTGATGGCCGTCCAGAAGCCCGTGTCCAGCCCAATCTGGTGGAGAGGGGAAGGAGGAGGCAGGGCTCAGGGGACGGCCACGGTGCTCTGAGCGCGGCCACAGGGCAGGACAGGACCCAAACCTTCACCCGCCCTTTATACTAAAGGTGAGAGGCTGGGGCCAAAGAGCCATGTCCCTACCTGCACGCTGACGACAATCACGAGGGAGGTGGCAACGGTGACGGCAAAGGACTGGTAGTCGGCCAGCTGGGCGCCATCGTCACGGGTGGCATCAGCAAAGACGCCGTAGGGGATGAAGAACATGAGGACGGAGGTGTAGATGCCCTGGGCGATGCAGATGAAGAACTCCCGCTTGTTGAAGAGCAGGTTCAGCTGCCCGGGCTCATAGAGCTTGGGGTACTCCATGCTCCGCTGCTCCGGCACGTCCTGGGGGCACGGGGCACTCTGGGCACCTCCCTCCAGCCCCAGGCAGGCACAGCCTGTTCACTGGGGCTGGGCCAGCCTCCACCACCACCCGTGCCGTGGAGGGACAAGGACAGCCCAGCCCAGGCAGCCGGGCAGCCCTTCCTCCGGCAGGGTGGGCCACACAGGGGAGCCAGGCCAGCTCCTTGCGCACCCAGGGACCCTCCTTGCCACCCCCTGCCATACCTGGTCGAAGACGCCCATGGCGAGCACGGGCAGCGATGTGTAGACGATGTTGTACAGCGTGATGAAGTACTGGTCGTACACGGTCTGCATGGAATGGAGTGCTCAGGGGGATGCGAGAACTGCCCGC